ACACCCGACCCATTCTTTATATTTTGATTTTAATTTAAAAAAGTGTTATTAAACCAAATCGGGTTTAAAGTTGGTGTAAAGTACTGAAGATCACTTCGGGACTTGAGAATTCAGAATATTCTATATTTCATTTTTATTTAAGTATTTTTTTTTACTTTAATAAATATACTATTTTCAATTTAAATTAATTAATCTATAAATTCCTATAGTTCAAATGTCTTATATTATTTTCATCTAAAAATACCATTGCGATTGTTTTGAAGTAACAACAAATTTAATTTCATTTATTCAGTGTGTAAATTAATTGGGAAGTTAAATAAAAATAATTAGTCTGAGAATAAAATATTCTTCAGTCAAAATGAATAACAGGTACAACGGTGCACCAATACTTGCAGTACTGAACCATTACTGACATATGTCTCATACGTCAACGTTTTTTTTCATTGGCAGATCAGTACTGGAGCTTTTGTAAAATTAGTATTACTCTGCCAGCAATGACAGCCAAGTACTTGACTACCGATGCTGAGAAAAAACGCCGGCCAGTAATACGCTAATACGGTTTGGCCAATGGTCAGTTGTCAATACTTCAACCGTATACTTGAAAAGTATTTCTGCTTGGGAGAGGATATACTTTTATTATTCGCGACGAAAGCGATACATATTGAACTTGTCAACGAAACTATATACAAATGAACAAATTATTTAATCGTGAAAAATGTTCAATAATTTACAATATTAATGACAGAAATTTTGTGGGCATGCGGTGGCATTTAAAGGAGGTTTACACACTTTTCCAATCCAAAGAAAATTATTTTTATATACGTATCTCACCAAATATATATTTTTTTTTGATGCCACTAATTCAATGTTGATACATTTCCTCTATTAATTTTTATTTACAACGGTAATGTTTTACGATTCCCATTTCTTTAGCGACATTTTAAATATTGAAAAATAATAATGAAATTTGTTTCGTACTATACAATTTAATGCAATTAATGTAATGATAGCTTTCTCGTTCATTAGATAAAAGCAAATAATCAAAAATCATATATATATATATATATACATTTATGCAAGTGTAATATCAAGTGTATTTTAATTTGTGACTATTTTTAGGAAATCGGTATTACCCTACAAAATTCTATTGGAAATAGCTAATGTGGATAACGCGCACAAGCATCTCACACATAACAGCCACAGTTTGAAACCCATTAGTCTGGACATACAAAACTACCCGTTTTTGTTCCATCATTACGATGAAAACTACTGATGCGATAACAATTCTGAAAACAGATCTGAATTTAGCAACATGTTACTTAAGTATCGGTCAGGCTACATTTTTCAGTGCATAAATAAATCATAATTACAAAAAAGTGGCTTGATCGATACTTAAATAACATGATACTGAATTCAAATCTATTTACAGAATTCTTATTGCATTAGTAGTTTCGTCGTACTGATTGAACGAAAACGGATGGTTTTTGACTAAAAAACGGTCGGTATATAGACGCCTTAATATATTTTAGGAATAAAAAATATTACGCCCGAAGAGCATTATTAATGAAAATGATGATAATTTATTAGACAGACAAACATTCCTAAAAGTAAAGGCAATGGTATATAAAAACATAATGTTGGATACCATTGCCCACACTTACCTACTTTTAAACTATAAAGCTTAATACGAATCCTCAGAATGTTTAATAAACTATATTAAAAAGTTAAAGTATTTATACTAAAAGGTATCAAAAAACTTAGTTATAATATTGTAATAAATGTAAATAGTAGAGATATTAATGAAGTATAAACGTTTTCATTTCTACTAACTCCAGTACTCATATAATTTGATAAATTATATAATTATGTCAACAATTATTTCATACCCACATAAAAAATAAATCTATATTTTTCAAATCATGACATTAGTCTACTCATAGATACTACAAGATTAATTTAATATTATGTATGTATATAAAATGAACTCTTTTTTCCTACGTTTTTTACGAGAACATTAAGGTCAAATTTTTTATCCACAACTTTCTGAAGATGTAAATGTTTCAGCATAATTGGATGAACAAACGTAAGAACTTATGACAGATAGACAGATAAACATTTATATTAATCTTACAGATGGTTTTATTCTTTTGTAAAATAATATACAATAATCAAATATAATTCAATTAAATATTAGTTTAACATAAACTATTTTAAAATATTTTATGCGTTAATAATTATTCCATTTCCTTAGTAATTATATTTAATTATAACTACAAAATGCCAAGCTTGAAATTTAAAATTACCTATTGTTAAAGGAAACGAAACAGCGTTTTATGTTTTATAAACATTTTTTTGTTCATTTTTATGAATTACAAGGATTATTAACATGACAAGAAGTTACAATAATAAAATATGATAGAAAAAAATTAAGCTTTTTTTATAGGAAGCCTAAAACTAAATGGTTATATTTATTTGCGTATAAAATAGTACGATCGATAAAACAGGAAAAGTAAAGAGCGTAACAGAAGATTATGAAAGTATCATTTAATTGAACAAAGTTGATTTTCTTAGAAAAATATTTAGTTTATTTCAACCATTGATAAATACTACACTATGGATTTTCAAACGAATGTAGTATTGTATTGTGAAATATGTTTGTAAAAAATCGTTATTTCGCCTTTCAGTATTTTTGATATCATATTGTAGAAAAACTCTGTCCAACATTATAACACTGAATTGTTAAAAGGAAACTTGTTTTTTCTTTTGCTTTGAACGTTGTCTAACATTAATTCATTATTGAAAAGCTACATTTTAAATTATTTAATTATATTTTTTTCTTCAATATTTGAAACACTGACGGTAGAACCCGAGGGCCGTTTTTTATTCTTGAAAAACAACAGATTATTTAAAAAAAAAACCTAACACAATTAATGATAATCTTCGCGGTACTTCTATGCCGTGGCGACGCGGTGTCCGGCACGTCAAACGTCAAAAAGTTAGCAGCGACGGGTGCGGTTCGTAGAGTCCGGCCGTGCAACACGTTCGGAGCCGGTGGCGTATGTCCTCGACGTTATCAGTTTGACGACGGGACGGAGACTTATCATTTGCGACGGGTCATAGAAGACCGTGCTGAACTTTGCACCATGGCGTATGGCGCGCGGTATTGGTCAGTTAAACTATCAAAAACCCGTTAGTAGCATTACCTGATGGTAACGGCTGATAAAGTTGGCGCGGGACGCGGGGCACCGTGTCAATAAAAAACTAAAAAGGTAGAAATCTTCTTAAAAAAAAATAGTGTCTTAAAAAAACTCAAACAAAATAAAATTTTTATTTACTATATTAAAGCAAAACAAACACAATAAATTTATCTCAAATCATTTATTGTTTATATTATCTGCTGCATTTTTTTCTCCTCAGTGTTTTCCGTACGAACGATCAACTGGTTCTTTACTTCGCAACCATCGGCGCTTGCGTCTTCACGTCAGTCGGCTGTTGTTCCTTACTCCATTTGTTATTTTTATTTTATTGTTCATATTTACATTAGTCAGCACTGAGATTTTGTAACAATAACCTTAAAACTACTAAATTACTTATTTTTAATTTTTTAACGTACACAGAAAAGTAAAAACAATAAAAAAATGTATTTTAAAATTGAAAATTTGTAGATTGAGAATTTTAATTAGTTTACATTAGTGTATATGTAATTCTAACGGTGCCTACAATGCATATTTATTAATGTGTTTCATTTACACAAAGATTAGTTTTACCAAATACATTTGGCGGTGCTTATAATATAAATAATTATAATTATTATCAACCATAATTAAAGTAAACTTATAAACTAGTTTCAATGATGTTTATGATAATCATTAACCGTGATTTAAATAAAGATAACATAGATTTTGTTTCGATAAAATTATTATTATGAAAACTTAAATTTACTTTCAACGGTGATTATAATTTTATAATTACTAACAGTGATAAAAGTAAACAAAAAATAATCCTTATAAATTATTTTATGTGGTGTTTATGAAATTAATAATTAACCATTATTAAAATATATTATAATATTTAAAAACAAAGTAAACAAATTAATCCTTTTTAATCATTAATATTATCTATAATAAATATTATTAATAAAAAAATATAGACTTCATTCCATTATTAATTTTCTTTATGTTTTAATATTAAAATATATCAATATTAAAAATAAAAAAAGTTAATTTAAATATTAGCCAATAGGACTTATAGTGTTCTTATGCAGAATATTCAACTATCTTCATAACAGATGGGCAATATGAAACAGTACACACGTGAGTGACTGTTCTGGAATTTTAAGTACATCGGGAGCATAAACTAGGCAATCCTAGAAACATTAGCGTTTGTGTATAAACAAACTAAATCCCTCGGTCCACAACAAACAATAATAATCATCAAGAATAACCTTAAGACTAATAAGTCTTTCAGTCGTTTGTACAAAAAGTGTAATTATGTGACATTAGTGTAAATATTCAGTGTTTTAATTTTTGGACATTTATTGTAAATAAACTAAAATACATTTCATTTTTATTTATTAATTAAACAATGTTTTTCAAGAAGTCAGGATCATTATCGACTATATTTTATTAATGATAGATATTTTATTTTGTCCTCTATTATTGTTTTAATTTTAGTTGTTGTATAAGTTAGCAAGAACTGCCTATGCACTCAGACCTATAAGTCCACTATGCGTACCTCCTACTGAATTAAATAAATTCACATAAGTGTTTCTACCGAAGTGTTGTTGCTATTGTTGAAAATTTAAGACTATAGGACGTCCTACTAGGCCGCATGTATATATATCCAAAGAGTCCTTTCTCTCTAGCGAAATTAAGTATCTCTTTGTTTTTGTCTTTCAATTCAAAAATAAATAAATAATAGTTAGAAAAACAACTCAGTTATAATCCTAAGTAACTTATAAGCAAGTGACAATGACTAATGAAAGAACATAATTGGTTTAGGTGAAGTGACAGTAGATCCGTTTCTATGTCGAAGATGTACACATGTGCGACTGATAAGACTTCTAACAGTGTGATACTATAAGATTTCAGGATTCACAACTGAAACGTTCAGAGGTATTGTAGATATTTTTTGCGACTTTTTATTACTTAAGTAAACAATCTACTAAATATGTAAAAATCATGAAAAATTAACAATAGTTCATATCAATATATTCCCAATGTATCAATCATGGAGTATTTTTTATGTTCATCCCTTATATCTTATAAGGATTCCAACTAATTTTTTATATGACAACAAATATGATTAAATAGCTTATTTATTAGATAATGACCTGATTAAGAAAATTACTGGTAATACTCAGTTATGTAAAATTAAATGTAGAGATGATAAACAAAATAAAATAGTAAAATAAAACTCTTCAATAAAAATTTCCAACTTTTCCAAAATTTCTCAAAAATGTCTTCAATATTATATTTTTATAACACTAATTGTACACACTACGCGTAAACGATAATATTGTTTTTTACCTAAGTTCTTGAAAAATATGTGAGCGGCAGTGTATATTGTTATGTTAATTTTAAAGGATCAACTTAATTTTATAGTTTGACTTAATTGAAAAATTATTAAAAAATTTTTAAGAACAAATAATATTTATTTATTTATGCTAATATATCCATTTTAGTTCAGCAATAAATGCGATTATTTTAGAACAAAACCGTTGCTAGGGGTGTGCGTAAAGTCCCCATATCAGGCCCTTTGACTTTTAGCGCCGGCCTTGTTTAGAGTGCTCATTGTGATTGTTCTGAGTAGTTTTTAAGTGGTTCACATATCACAATATTTAATTTATAGTAATTCATACAGTAAGTTTACATTATATCTGATTATATAACATCACAAAAAGCGTCATTTTGTTAAAGTATAAAATATTATATTAGTTTTTGTCGTGTTATAATGTACATTATATTTTTATATCAGATTTAAAGATAATGAACAATATATTTTGAAAAGAATCAAATTAAATTATCGATTGAGCAATAATAATATAAGCTCTCCGGTTCCTCGAAAATTTTTATAATTTCACTTTGTCTTTAACTTCATATTTTTTGATAAAGATTTTCAATGTTAAATTTTAAATCAAAGAGTTCTTGACTCCATAAATTAAAAATTTATTTTAAAAGATTTAGAACAAATGCATTCTCAAAGTAAAATGTAACAAGTAGTTATTAAGAGTAGTATTTCGTATTGAGTAGTATTTGTTAAAATTTTAACTATATTTTTACTCATTTTTTAATTATATATGAATTCCATTTCAGAATTTAATGTTCAGGTGGATTTCATTCTATCTTGGATTAATAAGACTTTAAATGATATGTTTTAAGTCTACCACTGCGTGTACTGTTTTTAATAAATTGATATCGTACGTTACAATCTATTGATCAGGCTTATAAAGTTGTATTCCAATTTTGACATTATAATTGATGACTCTAATTCGTGTGGGTACTTATACTAAAGTACCAGTAAAGAAGAAACAGCAAATTCATTTGTAGGTTGTAGACTGTACTGTGACAAATTATACCGTTACAGCTCAGCAAAGGATTTTTCTAATTACCTACTGAATTCTATACAGTCTTGATAGTTATCGGGTACATTATGCCGGTTTATGAGGTCACAGGATAAAAGTTAATGTATTGCTGATGGCATCAATCATATCATATCCATTATTTTACTGTTGATTTAATAAAATACATGCTTATTTATAAATCATAGAAAAAAATAATTAAACTTTTCAAATCATTGTTTATATAAATATAGTACAGATATAATTTAAAGTTGTCTTAATATTACTATTTAAAAGTAAATTTTTCATGAACTCAATAAAAATTAATTCTTCAATAATTATAATGCAAAAATGTACATAAATTTCACGTGAGCGCTATTGTATTGATTATTGTAAGTACCAATGAAATTGAATAAGTTGTATTTTAAATACTCTTGACAAAGTAATAAATAATTTATTTTTTTAAAACAAGTAACGTTTACTTTTACTTTAATAACTTTTGTACATAAAAATATTTTACTATATTTATATATACAATTGTAATCACAATGATTTAAAATAAAATGTTTATATTATAGTATTCTAGTCTATAATTGAAATGTTTTTTTAAACTTGAGAAATTCCAAGTAACAAAATAAACATTTATATTCAAGTCTTATAAAAACACTACCAGAAAAATAATTTTGAAAGAGAACCTTTTAAAAGTAGGCTCAAAACAAAATGCATAATGTGTTTTAGAATAATTTTTGGAGAGGTAGGGAAAAATATAATTTTACCTTCTAATAGTTTAACTTACCTTAAAAGGTAAAGAAAATTTGTTAAAACTAATATTAAACAATGTTTGTTAATAACAATTCTCCAACAATGTTGTGACCAAACTTTTATTTTTAACCCTCTTCACACACTTTTCATTGCTTGAATTTATTATATACTTGATATTTTTACATTACTTTATATTACCTCATTTTTATCTGATGGCGAGAATTTTTTTTTTACTTTTTATTTTATGGCAGTCAATATTTTATCGATACTTGAACAAATAAGTGTTATTAGTTGAATTCATAGAGAACTTTATCATTTTCTCTACCTTTTATTATTATATTTAAGTACTTCTGCATTATTGATAAACAAAATAAGTCAGAATTTATGAGTTATCGCAAGGTATGACTATTTATTCAGTAACGTAAGTGTGTATAAAATGTGTATTTGTTGCAGAAAATATATTGTTTTTGTGCTAACTATATCTGCGCACTATTTAATAGTTTATATTAGCACAATGTAATAATGCAAAGTGTTATTTTACAAAAACCCCACTTTGATGTGGAGGTACTAGGATTCCATTCCGTTGTGTTGTGTAGGATTTTCCATACTTTCTACGGAAAGCAGTAATTTTCATACAATATCGTTACATATAATTCTAAAAAAAATATTATAGAGTTAATTTATTTTATTTTTAAAAGTGAGAAAAATAGAATTATCATAACTGAACCTTAAAAGAAAAATGAGGTAGTAATTAAACTTTCTTCTTTACGTTCACCTGTGAAATTGTTTCATTTAAAATATTGATTTATTTTCAGAATTCATTAAAATTCCCAGAAGCTATTTAATTTTTAATTTTTATTAAGACAGATCAACAGTTATGTATTATAAAAGTTAATGGTAAAACTTTACATCAATGTATTATTAATAATTTAAATATCGGTCGAAACACGTTATAAAGTCGTTAATTTTGTAGTTTCTTTAAATTAAAAACAGTCGTAAATTCAGTACCACAATATCAGTTGATATGATATACAAGAATAACTTTCTGAGATTACAGAAATTGTTTTTTTTAGTATATTAGTTATTTAAAAATTATAACATGAAGATATTGAAATTTTTTTTAATATTTGCAATTTGTTGTTGTATTTTTTTTATTGTTGATAATATCTTTGTAATAAGTAATCTGAAAGTCTGGGGAAATCTGTGGACCTTAATTAATCTGTTCTTTTAATTACTGTATTTAGATCAAAATTTAAAATATTATCGCTAAAAGAGAATTAATACTTGACATGTGGTTCTTGTGTATTAAGTATAAGTATAAGATACCACTCACTGTTCACTGTGTTATCGGGTTTGCCGGTCCATTCGTTTTAAATAGAAACAGCAGTGCCATCACTTCCTGAAACATCATTTATCTCTTGTAAATAATAAAGCAGTTTTTATAGTTTTAGATAAATTTCACCAGTTATAAATAGGATTTTTTTCTTGATTATTATTATTATATAACAAAAATCTATTTTAATAAACATTTTTAGTAAAATTTTCCCACTCAACCAACTTTAACAGTTCTTTTATTACAAACATAAAATAGTTTTGAGATCTTGAGAAAAATTAATATGTAGTGAATTATGCCTTATGGTATTATATAATAATGTAGGTATTGATTTTTTAACAATGATTGCTGTATTTGTTAAAATTGAGTGCCGTAAATTTCTTTTAATCAAAGGGATTTTTAATACTTTTGAGTCGATATAGACACTTGGATAAAATATGTCTTTAATTTATCCTTATCTGATTATTTATTAAACTTGAGACAATAATTTACCTTTTAATATGTAAATACTTTATAGTTAATATATATGTGAAAATGTTATCATAAATATTGCGATACAAAAATCTACGATGTTATCATTGACATTAAAAGGATGCTTTAAACGTATGTAATATGCACTTTCATTTATAGATAATGTTGTTAAAATTAATGATGTCATTAAATTGTGTAAGAATGATAACCACATTTTATTACAAAACTAAAAGCTTTGGCAATTCCAAATAATGGACGGCTATTTTTATAATTTTACCTATAAAGTTATTTGGGTATATCGATATAAAATGGCTTTTATAAATTAAAATAAAAAAGTATGGTGTACCTTCAAAAATAACTAAATTAATTCGTATTTAATTATTTTATTGTTTATCCTAAACAAATGTACACTCATTCACTCAGTTTTTACGATTATTTAACATGTAGTATCATTTGCTCTAAAATGGCTATATAAACTTATAAAAGACAATAAGGTTTCATGATTGAGTAGAAAATCAACAACAATTGTAAAAGAAATCAACATTTCATTATAAAATTTTAAGGGAAAACTTTTAAAGTTTGAAAATACACACTTCTTCATTGAAATTAAAAGCAACAATAGGGCAAACCTGTATAGTTATAAGTTGGAAAGGTTAAATTTAACAATCAAATTAAAACCATAGAATTCAGTAAAAAAGTCCTACGAAATTGTACATTTTGTGTGCCCGAGAAATATTTTTTCCTAAAAAGTATTGTTTTATGTTATTTTCAAAAAATTACAATGAATTATTATTTCTTTGTACACTCATTTATTTAGTCCAATAGAATTTTCTAAAAAGCTCGTCAAACTAAACCAGTAAAACAGTTTAGTTTTTATTTAACAAGAAAAATAAAATCGATAAAAGTAATGAAACAATAATTTTTACTTAATTATTACTACACATTACTTATAAAAAAAATGATTTACCTGAAGTGTAAAATTAACTAATTTTTCATCATTACATTGTATACATAAAAAAATTGTTAATAAATTGTAAAAAAAATTGTTTTGACATATTCTTTTTAAAGAACAACAAGTTATTCTTTAAAAAAACTTGTTCTTTATCCATATTAAACTTGAATCTTGGTTCAAGACTACATGGACCACACAGCTGCCTTGTACTTCATGTAGATGTTCTCTGTTATAAATTTCAGAGCCAGGAAAGTGTTTGTTCAACAAATGTGTTAATGTTCATTATCATTGTTTGTGAATGTATTGTTTGGCAATAATATTGCGTCGGCTCACAAGTTTAAAACTCAATTCTGGTTGGACAAAATTCTAATTTTGATATATGCAAAAAAATAAAACCAATGTGAAATATTGATTTTGATATGTTCCTTAGAAATAATTTTAAGTTTCAAGGACACACGTGTACCCGTTTGTATTTATGGCTATTCAAATTTTAAAGGTTTGATTTTAGCTACTATTTTAGGCAAAATAAAATGGCTTTACATTTTTTTTCCTATAAAATAAAAACATATAAAAAAATTATTATTATTTTTACTTAGTTATGGCTACTAATTATGGAAAATTCAAGTTTTTAACTTTTTTAATTTAGTGCTACACATGTAATTGAATGTAGACCTACTACATTATAAATGTACCTGATTTTATTATACTGTCTTTTTTTTTATAATTATTTTATTAATCATTTTAATCTTTTAAAAATATTAGTCTTAAACTTTATTTTTCAATTATGAAATTTCTAAATACATTATATAGCGTTGATAATGGTAACATTGTTTCTGAAATACGTATCCGCAACTTTTCATTAATTTTTTGTGGCTTTTGAGTTTAATATTTTTTTAATTTTTATTAAATTAATAATATTTTTTATACAGTTTTAATTTTACTTCTAAATACATTGTTTATTAAAAAAAGTAACGAAAAATATTTGCTGTATCTAAAGCTATTAAGGAACTAATAAGCTATTAATAGCTATTATTATGCCAAAACCTGTTAAGACGCTCTATACATAAGGTGAATCAGATCTAACTGATAAATCTTACAACTTTTGAACCAATAATAATTTTTTTGGACATTTTTAAAAAAAAATTATTGCCTATTTAGACTATCTTTAAAGCATATTTTTTATTATTTATCACCAATAAAAAAAGTAATAATAATATATGTATTTCTTTTTTTAAAATTACAAAATAATAATTCTTTAGCCCTTTTCTTAAAAATGAAATTTAATTTGTTAATAACAAGGTCAAGTACACATTGTTACTGAGTTAGAAGCATATGCATAGTATTGGTATGTTATGTGGGTTGATGAAGTTCATATTGTTTTATATTTCTAACGCATACTCTATCTGTGCTATATACTCACTCTATGTATTCATATGCATAGGTCGAGGCATAAAAATGTCATTTTATTAATTAAAACATTATCAAATGAGTAANTATGCATAGTATTGGTATGTTATGTGAATTGATGCAGTTCATATTTTATATTTCTAACGCATACTCTATATGTGCTATATACTCACTCTATGTATTAATATGCATAGGTCGAGGCATAAAAATGTCATTTTATTAATTAAAACATTATCAAATGAGTAAGCCAGTTAACTATACATGTTGCCATTAATAAATTAAGTTGGTATCCGTATAAGGTATAGAAACGAACATAAAGAATGCTTCATGATTGATAAAATGAGAAAATCACTCAAAACTAAAGGAAAAAAAAGAATTATCAATATTATTTTTATTTTTTGATTAATTATATAATTCAAATAAATTAATCACTGTGTGTATAAATATATGTGTGCATGTTATATTTGTAAACTAATAAGCTTAACATATTTTTGATTGGCTCAAATATGTGTGTATAAACTACTAATTAATTTATAAACATTTCAGCGATTGAATGAACATTAAAGAGCGTTTGTGAAGAAATTAGCCAATTCGTAATTTTTCTGATTAGCAATGAATCAATATATAATTAATTAATGATTCTTAAAAACAAATTTAAACTAAGAATGTTCTTAAATGAATAAAAACGTTGTGCAATAACAACATTTTGTTGTTATAAATTATTCTATAATGTCACCGCTCATTTTTATGATTAACTTTATTATTTAATAATGTAATAGATTACACAGGACTTTTTTTAAATGATTTCATGTTGTAGAATATAAAGGAAAAAAAATGGAGTTTGTTATGCATCTATAATTTTATTTAATGTAGTAAATATTATGTGAATTTATTATTTATTATTAAATTGATTATTATTATATTAAATTATTATTTAGTTTTATTAATAAATTGTGTTGGTAGTATATTTATTTAATTTATAAAACATATTTCATTATCAAAGTTTTTACGTCAGTGAAAAATTATTGAATTATTTATGATGTTGTTGAAAATGTCATTAATTACATTTTTAGTAATTTTCTTTATATAAATTAAATAAATTGCAATTTAACATTGACGGTTCTCTATTCAATTAACTACAAAATGAGATGTAAGAAATGTTTCTGATGGTAATAATTACATTTTTAAATTGTGTGATAACCTTAACTCTTGAACATTTAACATTAAATACAATCTTATGTTAAATGTAATTACATTAAATTACTATGGTTTACATCTTCTTAATTTTACACTTATACATTATTAATTTATATTTTCTTTATATTTTTTATTTTGCAATATATAAATAAGTTAATTTCACAAATATTTTGGTTAAACATTTGGGATTGTACTCACTCCATATTTTAGGATATTCAGTATGTAGTCTGGAAATTTTATGCAAAATACTTATATTTTATAAATTTTATTTTACATACAACATTTATTTCTCTCGGCAAATTGTATCTTCAATTTATTAAATTACTTTGAATCATTTATAATACTTTCGGGTAATTTTTACAAAATTTAAATACTTACAAAAGAAAAGACAAGAATGTTTTGTAATGGGCTATGGTTTATTATTTAAATTAGATTTTGATTTCGAACTTCAATATATTCATAGTTTAACCTTCTTAGGTCTGTTTTAATTGGAAGTATAATATAGATACATTAACTTAAATGTAAGAAAGGTGTGAATAGTTAATTTCAACATAAATTGAAAAATTTAATAGGCAATAATTTTTATTCAATACATATAATTATATAAACTTGATTTGTACTTGAATAATTTGTATAAACTATGAGCTATTCTGTAAACAATATAAATAAGGATATTAGAACACCAAAAACTATTTATACTTATTCGAATTTTTATTCAAAAATATTGATTAACACTTAATATTTCAACTTAAAATATCACAAAAATCAAATTAGTTTATATATAATATATATTTATATTTAAACGTGACTTCATGCTTTATGTCTTTAATGAATAATATTTTATCAAAATAAACTTAAATGCCTCTGTGTTTTAAACATAATTATTTATATTCTAATGTTTATATGATAATATTATAATATTAATCATAATGTTCAATATAATTTTTGATGATTTCTCTTAGGTATTTTATATTATTTTAAAGATCTTAACAGAGGTGAGGAACCAAGGGTATCCTCAAACACTATATCTGACTAAAGTATCTAATAATTATATAAGATTCAAAAGGTCTTATATCATTTTAAACAGTATAACAATTTAAATGCTTTCCCTAAGTTATACTCTCATTACAGTATTGAATTTAAATTAAGTCTAAGTAACTTATTCAAGGATAATGTATATTTAATATTCATAATTTAGAGGTATAGATAACTTTATTTTCACGCTAGTTTACTTGTTTGCAATTGTATATGGTTTTACAATTTAAAATTTCTATAATAAAACATTTAGAGTTCCTTTGAAATCGTTATTTTATGAAATATAAAATTTTTTTTTTGTAGCATATTTTTATGGTTATATGTAAATTGATTTCACCAGTGAACGAACAGTTGAGAGTTTTTCATATTTTAAAATTCGTTATTAATTTATATTTTGATGTCACACTTATGAAGTTAATAAATATCTGTTGTCTGGAAAAATCTGTGTAGTAATAATAAAAAAATATTTATAATAAACTAATACAAAAATTTAAATTTATTATTTTATGTTGAAAAATGTTTTCTTGCAAATGAACAGTTAATGATATCCAGTCAAAAGTTGTAATATACCAGAAGGACTCGATGTAGATATTTTCTTTGTTATAAAGACTACTAAAAACAACTTTTATTTAACAAGTTTTTGTTTAAAATCTGAGTGGTGTTCGTTTACTGGTAGTGTCATATATTCACTGGTAATGTTACCCTAATGGGTTTCCAATTTTAGTAAATTTTTCTTTAGTCTTTGGAGTTTTTAGTTGTTGGTTTTATTTTGTTTGAAACGTATTCGTGTGCTTAGGTTAATGTAATTGTGAGAAGAAAAATTTTATTTTTTTAATATTGATGCTTATGAAAAAGAAAAAAACAATTATTAGATTTAAATTGCTTTGGTTTTTAGTTTGAAGAAAAATCAAAGTTTTACGGTACATTTTTTTGACATATTCTCGTTTTACTCTCTTTTTTGTTTTTCAAGTGGTTATTTTTGTTAGTTGGATCTTTTATCCAATATGCATACATCATTTTCAGATTATTACAAACATTTTTATACATTAACACATGTGAAATAACATTAAAAAAAAGAGTATTAACCATATTTTTTTTCCATAAAACGCTTAATAAAAAATAAATAATTTACATAAAAATGATATTTATACATATATAAGATATCATTGAAATAAAAAAAAATCTAGTTCATTATAAAGTATTAAAAAAACAGCTAATAAACAATTTTTTTTAGTAAAAAATGGTATTCATTTTATATTTCATACAAATGAGTAGGTATGGTACAAAGGAAAATCAAAGATTCATAAGTGAATTTTATGATATGTAAGCAGTAATAATCAAAAGTAAAAGTTTGTCAAATTAATATAATAATAAAAACTTTTCTTGAATAAAGTGAAAAGTCACAAAGTAGATGATTCAAAACTGACATATTTGTTAATAAGCTACTTACAGATTGTCAACCTAATATACTCTTGCTATGTATCTCTGTTGTTTCAATAATTTTTAATTCACAATAATACACTATAATATATACGTACTTAACACACCAACTTTCTTAATAAATGTTACATTCATAACACATGTAAATATTGTACCCGAGAGTCATCAGAACAAAGTTGTATCTCTATTTCTGATATTTCATACAAAGTAAGAGTTCAATAATGAATTTTTACAACTACCTCTGCTGTTTGGTGAGTAATGGAGGAAAACTCAACAATATCGTTCAAAACTAAAATAAATGGATAAATTTTAATTCATGATTTTGATGGTTAACAATGTCCTCGTGATATAGTATCCCAAATCCTAAACTAGGATTAAAGAAACTAGTTATATAATACCAAGATTACGAAAATTAGTTATTTTTGCGCATATTAATTGCAGTACTTTTTTTGATATATTCTACTTTTAAAGAAGTCAACACTCGAAATAAATATGATTCTCAACTAACAATACCATTTTTCCTTTATTTTCAAGTTTTTTTAGGTACATTTCATATTATGATTAAAATGGCTGATTTATATAATACTATACTTTTTATAATACTATAAACTAATGATTCCGACATATTTTATTAAACATAATACAAAAACTTAATTCTTTTATCTTCTTTGTCTTAAAATTAATAATTGTATTTTCTTGAATATGGCAATAAGAATAGTTTAAATTTCAGCGTAGTTCCTATTATTTTTTTATATTTTCTATCTCAACATAATATTTTATTATACTCAAACACGATTGAATTCTGATCAACAAAATTAAGTTTAAAATAAAAACACACATAGGTTTTTTTTTAATTAACTGATTATGGTAATGTAATTAGATTACACATAAGGTGAACATATGTTTATGATAAAAATATTCAATAGTTGTAGGTGATATTGTTTAAAACTAAATTTATTTACCTTTAAAATCTATAAAAATATATTTTTATTTAGTTATTTTACACTTAGTAAAAATTATCACAATTAGTCTTAAACACATTCTCGCAGTAACTTTTAAATTCAGGCATTTAATATATGTTAAAAAGTTTAAGTACCTTTGTTATTAACAAAATTATCTCAAGTGGTTATCAATGTCAAAATTTTAAGTGTGTCGCGCTGTTGCAAAAAAAGACTCATATTCAAAAAAAATATTTGTTGAAATTTCACTTTTTCAGAAAAACTTTTCTATCAAGAAAAAGAAAAATAACAAATCAATTTTTTTTCTTGTCTACGTAATTTTGCAACTGGATTACTCAATAATACAGACTTTATTATTGATTGGGTGGTATTGTATTACTAGATCAGTCTAGTTAATTAGTTTTTAGTATTTTTGTGATATTTTAAAAAGGACTAACAATAATTGTATTTTATAAATTATTAAAGTATCTTTCATTAATATTTAAATAGTGATAATTCATTGATAATTGACAAAAATACTATTATAAGGATAATCACTTTTTTCATCTATTTAATGTAGAGCCGTTTGAGTGAAATATTTAATGTTAAAAAACGACATTCAGTTTAATTATTTTGGCCTTAATTCTAATGTTGATTTATGCATAGCTTAGAAAGCGTCAGAGACTTATTGTAGGAACTAAATTAAAATTCTATTAACTTATTATGAAATGTAGTCTATTGTGTTAATACAAAATGTGGTAACATAAAGAAACTTTTTGATTTGCAACTTTATCGTTCAGCAAGAGAAAATGTTCAAAACTAGAATGACAAATTATTTGAATGTATATTCAAAACTAAGAATAATAAAAAATATGCACGAAAAAAATACAACTTTTTCCTACGGTACTAACAATATTTTAATACAGAAAGTATTCTAACAAAATTTAAATATTACTTAAGAATTATGTGTCAGCTATCTGAAAAATAAGGTTATAAATTCCCTATAGCTGATTTTTTTTAAGTAGTGATAACCTTAAGTTGCTTACATAAGTCGTATTATATAAATAAATTTATGACATATATAATGATTATAACTTTACAATATTATTTGAAATTTTACTA